CCTTTCTAAACTCAGACTATAAATTATTTGCAAAAATTCTAGCTAACAGATTGAAAAAGATATTGGCAAGAATAATAAATAAAGATCAGTCAGGCTTCCTACCGGGAAGACAAATTTATAATAACATAAGACTGGTAACGGATACAATAGAATACTTAGAAATGAGACCAGACAAGAAGGCAGCACTGATCCTGGTGGACGCAGAGAAGTTTTGATCTCTGTTTTTCTTTTTCATAGCAGATTGTTGGATGCAGAACCCCTTCATATATGCCTTACTGGCACCCCAAATTATATCAATGTCCGTCCCTTGTTTGTTATTAATTTGAAAAAATTCTTCTAACGTATCTTTGGCTTTTTAAACTACATCGTCGTCATTCTGGATATTCTTATTTAGTCTCCACCTTTTCATGTACTCCTACTTCTGTGTTACTTCCAGCACTGTCGGGTTATGGTCTGACATTACTCTGGGCAAAATTTCTGCTTTACTTGTTCTTAATATTATTTTCTTGGAAACCCAAATATTATCTATTCTACCTCCTGATTTTAGCGATTTTGAGAATTGAAAATTGGAAGAAGGTAAGAAGTTACTTCCCAACGTTCATCTCTTTTCTTTTCTGTCCAAGTCTTCAGGTCACACCATTAAGGTCTCCTATGAGAATTATATTTTCATTATTCTGATCCCAATTTTTTTCTTCTAAATTCTTATAAAATTCTGATTTCTTACTATTTGGGGGATAATTTCCTCTTTTTAAACACTTGCCACAAACAATTTTCCCTTACAGGCAACCTGTTTATGGAGCATTCATCCTAATTTTTTGGCAGGGAGGTTCGCTGTTACTGTGCTGAGCAGATATTCTCCTGCAATTCCTAGTGCATTTCTCTTCACTCTTATCACAAAAATATCTAATTTTGCTAGGAAGTGGGTTTGCTACACACAAAATGATTTTGCTGGTTATGTCACTGAATCCCCCTGCCCCGCAAAATAGTGACAGTCTAGAACCGTCACTCTTTAAACCCGTCTCCTTTTTACACCCCTGAAAGGTGGGGAAAACTTGAGGGATTGATTCCCATTCACCAATCAATCACCTTTTAGCACAATTAGTTGCAGCAGCCACAATACCAGTAAGGAGGGCAAAACAACATACTCCACTCACTTCTGATTCTGCAGTCCTTCTCTGAAGTGTCTTTCAGATGGTTCTTTTCCAACGAATGCTAGTAAATGCTGAACTTCGATCCCAATATACTGTGCTATATAATGTTCCAAATCAAGGGGAAAGGGTGGTGCTTCTGTGCATTTCCTCCTCTTTGGGTTCCTGAGAGTCTCTCTACGTTTTTTTTCAGGACAGAAAAAAAGAAAGGGCTCCTTCACAGTTAAACCATGAAACTTGCTCCTGCAGAAGACAGTGATGGCCACCAACTTGGGTGGCTTTAAAACAGGGCTGGACAAATTCATGGAGGAGAGGGGTACCAATGGTACTAGTCACATGCCCTCATGACTAATAATTTCAGGGTTGTCAGGGACAAGATCTTTCAGCCATCCATAATGGGATCTTGCTATGCAACCTAAATGATGCCTTTATGTTTGCCCTCTGCAGCTAATTGTAGCTGCAAGTGGATGGGGTTTGGATTTGGGAAATCAATGTAGGAGGAAATTCCACAGGGAGATACATAGATCTCCTATACAATATCCACTTTGGCCACTTCAAACAACATTGCCTGTGCATTTCAAACATACAAACATCCTGTCCTAGTCTTGCCATTCCTACCTGGTTCCTTCATAGCCGGGTGGAAAAGACTCTGTATTCTAGGAATGGGGGCTAGTTTTATAGGGAAGGAGAAATCACCCTTTATAAATATACCAGATGTGTTATTTTATCATGCGGCATTATGTAGTAGTCACTCCAAACAAACACATTAGTTTCCTGGTTTGAACAACAATAAACAAAATATTTTGATTTTTTAAAATAAAAAAGGGTGTGACTGCATGCAGCATGAGATGCAAAACTGACCATAGAGAAGGAAATGGTTAGAGCAATCCACAGAAGCCATAACTGAGCAAGATATTGGGTGTGATCACGTTAGTCATGCTCAAAGTAGATCCCCTGCAATCACAAAAAATAGCTAACATATTAATGTGCATTTTTGCAATTTTGTATGCAATTCTACTTAATATGCATGTTTGCAAGCCTCCCAGAGTGGCCGGGGAAACCCAGCAAGAAGGGCGGGGTATAAATAAAAATATTATTATTATTAGTAGTAGTAGTAGTAGTAGTAATGTAATATATTTTTGCATGTCATTTTCACTAATATATCTGCTTTTAATCACACTTCCTCCTAATGTATGCATTATTTGTTTGGATAACTGCAGCACAAAATTAGGAGGATTTCAAAGGATAGTTGTGTTTTCGTTTGCACATAGTTTTGGAAGCATGAATTATGTAGGTTTGCATTAAAATGCAAACTTAACCAACTTTATCCCCTAAGGAGAGGGCACTTGTGAGGCAGTTGCATCAACTATCTGGGCTGTTTCCTCATTCCAAAGCTCTACATAGTTTTATAGAATCCAGCACCAGCTATAAAGATTTGCATGTCAGTATCGCTGCCACACCTACTGCAGTGAATACCGATAGGAGGAATTTATTTCATTTGCTTTTGTTCTTTTACTTCCATTTATTCCATTGTTATAGTATCATTCGACGGCAACTATAGACTTGCTTTGGTTGTATTCAAAGCATTACGTGTAGCCATCGATGGCCAAACAAATAAAGTTCCAGTGTGGTTGGTAACCGTACACACTCGGTCATCCAGCATTGTAAGTCATGTCAGGCCTTCTATTTAACAGGTTTAATGTTAATAATGCAATGGATGGACACAAACCACTCACACCCGCTAGCCACAGTGAGGCACCAGGCAAAAACTTTCCCTTTCAACCAGGCCTTGGGATGATTAATTATGGTTTTACTTTGGTTTTGTTCTTGTTTTTATTAAGCACTTTGTGTTTCTATTTTGTGATTTTATGCTGTGATGTGCCCTGAGATCTTTGGATGAAGGCTGGTATGCAAACTTAATAAATAATAAAATTAATAGGAGGAGGAGGAGGAGGAGGATCTGGTGCATTGGTTCTGCACATGCCAGTGCTGTACTGACAGCCTAAGGCAACATTACAGGAGGAGCTAACATGGCGCCTATTAGAAGCTTTCGGTCTTCAGCCCTGATGTGCCACAGCCAATAGCAAGAGAGGCTGTAGTTTAATAGCATATGGAGGGCACCTCGTTGAATTCCCCATATCACCTCCAGAATCCCACATATCGTGTATTTCCCTCTTCCTTTGTGTTGAGCTTCTGGCAAGATGACAAGTCTATGGGCAGGGACTGTTTGTTTTTGGCTGTGGTACAGGACTATACCTACCAGGTAAGCAGCATGCCACTTACAGACTTGGATGAATGCATATGGTTCTTGAAATTGCACTTCTCAAATAGCCGCTGCTAACATAATTCAATATAGTTTAGCAGCTGAGGAAATTCTGAGACTTCCTGATCTCTGCTGGAAATTTGCAGCTCAAGAAATTCTAGTGTTTTGACAGCTGCTCTTTCAGGCAGGGGGTTCAGATAAAGATGGATTTTTGATTGACTTTCCAAAGCAGTCCCTGTTTTATACAGGGAGGAGATTGTGGTGTACAGACTGCCTGGTGTCCAAGAAATATCCCCATCACAATTTTGATGTTGCCCTCTATGCAGTGGAGGACCTTGGAGGCCTCACATTTTAGTGGTGCCCTGTGCGATGCCAAAATGTGGTGGCCTCCGCCCTCTTGCCTTTCATTCTACATCATAGTTACAGCATTCCCTGCAGCGCCCCCAAGGCTCTGTGCCCAGTGCGACCTAAATTTGCGTCTGCTTTATGTAAAGGGCTCAGTCTGTGGTTGAGTTCTTCCACCTTCTGTCTCTAGAAGGTTCCTGGCTGCCATTGGCAATAAAACAAGAGGGCTGATGTGACTGGACTGTAATTTCCATTATGCCTGACTATTCATGTTGCTGTTGAAGCTGATGGAAGTTTTATTCCAACAATATCTGGAAGGCACAGTGTTGGCTACCCTTGAAATCAGAAAATTTCTGAACATAGTTATTTTTCTTCTTCTTTTCAATATCATATTAACCCCCCCCCCAGCATTTTCCAACTCAAAATGGACAGTCTTCATTTTTAAAAATCCTTATCTTTCTCAAAATTGTTTGGTGGTATTGCTGTTCTGTCGTAATAAGCCATAATTATTTATTTGTTACACAGATGTTTCATAGATTTCTACTCTTTTATCCAGGAACTCAGTTCAATTTACACAGGGCCTTGCTGCTTTCTCAATGATAATACCGTTGCTTAGCTATGTCAGCACAAAAGCATCATAGTTCCAAATAACTGTAGTTTTCGCTCTATAAGACGCACCTGACCATAAGACGCTCCTAGTTTTTAGGGGAGGAAAACAAGAAATAAGAAGCCTCCTGAGCGAAGAGGGAGCGCTTCTCCCTCTTCGCTCAGGAGGCTTTGCAGGGCTATCCCTGAAGCCAGGAAAGCAAGCGGGATCGGTGCGCACCGATCCTGCTTGCTCTCCTGGCTTCAGCGAAAGCAAGCCTCCTGGCTTTCCCCTGACCTCCCGCAAGAGCCATGTGCTCTTTAAAGGGAGCACGGCTCTTGCGGGCTTTTCTGGGAGGTGGGGGAAGGGACAGAGCCGCGCTCTCTGAAACTTACCGGAAGAATAAGAAATCAAGATAACAAACTTTTTATAAAAGAATGGAAATGATTTATTGAATATTTACAGATAAATTGTAAACAGATAAAGACAATAGCAGGATTATTGTAATAACCTGCAGTTATATAAGAGTGTATATTTGCAGTTGATAATGAAATGAGCAAGTTAAATGAATTTGGATATGCAGAAGATATTAAAAAATAAATTTAAGGAACCGCGGAAGAAGGGGGAAGGAAGTCAAAGATTATCCTGAATGCTGTTAATAATAAAACTCAAATGTATACTCTAATGTAATCATATTTAGTTGTGAATATAGCAGCTGTGAACATATCCATTCATCTGCTCTTGATTTTGTTTGAAAATTATATATTTAGAGGAGAAAACGAGCTCAAATGGAGAATGTTAAATTGATTGTAAAACTAATGAAATGTATACATTTGCAAAGTATAAATAAAAACTAAAACTAAAAAAAGAAAGAAAAGCTATTCCATACAATTGGTGGGCAGACTGGAAGCCAGCAGACTGGTTTCTCACAAATGGGTCAGTACAAACGCCACCGAGGTGAATGTCACAACATTGGGTAGCCCAACAATTTCCCCACCACCCCCATTTCTACCCTGTATTCTCTCTTGGATCCAGTTGGCATAGAAAGGTACTGAAATGTAGACACCTGGGCGGGAGGGTTGGCCACAGCCCCTTCCCCAGCTCACAATCCCAGCCTGAATCCAACCTTCTTTGAGCTGGCAAACTAGGGGTCCCCCAGAGTCACCCTGTGGAAAAAGAGATGGGAGATAGTACAGGATCTGTGGTGAACACGGCAATGAGCACTCTGATGAGGAATACCGATTAGATGAGGGAGCTGGAATGAGGTTTATAACCAGGGATGGGGAACTGGTGGCCCTTCAGATGCCTCTGAACTCTACCTGCCAACAGCTTCAGCCAGCATGGCTCATGGTCAGGGATGGTGGGAGTTGTATTCCAGCAAAATCTGGAGGACAACAAGTTCCCAGCATCCGATACAAATCTTCATTTACCTCCAGCAGGTACTGACAAGATAGTGATCCTGTCAGCCTCAGCCCCCTTCTAGTGCACTTCCAACACCAGGGGTAAAAATATTGCTCTACTTTGTAAGGTTCGAAAGATTGTTGAAAAAATTAATAAGGATTATTCAATTCAACAGCACCAACAAAACTAATTCTAACAACGGTAGATGACTTGGGGCATCTTAAAAGAGGCATTCAGGTCTATGTGTGAGAGAAGGGGGGGGGGAAGCATCATCTGTGATGATATGTGTGGTGTCCATCTTTCAAAAACAATATAAGTAAACTTTCTTCCCTTTAGAACTGATGGCTTTAATCTCAGATACAAATTTATGTGGATTTTACTGAGTTTCAACATTTGAGCCCCAAGCCATACAGTTAAATGACCAAGGCTGCAACCCTTTACCCATTGACCTGGAACTAAGTCTCGTTGAAGTGAACAGGACTCATCGGGGCAAACAAAGGTCCTTCAGAATCACCCTGTGGAGAAAGAGATGGGAGAAAACATGGAATCCATGGTGGAAAACTCTAGCAACAGATTCCAAATACTGATCAGCCGAGGGGACTGAAATAAGGTTTATAATAAGAGATGGCGAACCTGATGTTGTTGGTCTCCACAACCTAACAATTACAGCTAGTCAGGGCAGTGGCGTAGCGTGGGTTGTCAGCACCCGGGGCAAGGCAAGTAATTTGCGCCCCCTAACCCGTGGATTTGCGCCCCCTAACCCGTGGATTTGCGCCCCCTAACCCTAGCCCCCAGATGTTGCGCCCGGTGCGGCCGGCCCCCCCTGCACCCCCCACGCTACGCCACTGAGTCAGGGACCTGAGACTTACCCCACCAAACAGAAGAGGACTTGTTTCTGAGTTGACATGTATGGGAAACTTTTTTATATATAAAGAAAGGTGTGCTATACATATTTTAAACAGAGGAAGTATTTTTTTATTCTTTTGAATCTGCTTTATTCTTGGTTTCGGTTATATGAAGCTTTTATATTTTTAGGTTTTATTGCTAAAACAAGCAGCACAGAAATATTTTTAAACAAAACAACAAGAAATAGGTGAATCTGAAAAGCTGGAAGCTGCCATCTCCCCAGGGATGCGGACTTATAAAAAATATTGGGGGGGGGCCCGGGAAAGCTCATGAATAATAAATAAGCTCATGAATATGCAAATAAAGTGGCTCCGGCCCTAAATAGGGCAAGCCACGCCCCCCCAGCCAGCCGATTGGCTGGCTGGGAGGTGTGGCCAGTCGGGATTCCCCTGTTCTCGCGGGGGCTGAAACCGCCAGGAGGAAGGAAATTCCCCCCGGCAGTGCCTTGGCAGTGGCGGTGGTGCTGCGAAGCAGCGAGGCAGGAGCCCCCGCCCCCGGCGCCCGAGATTATTGGGGGGGCTGAGCCCCCCCAAAATTTTTTTTGAGGGGGCTCGAGCCCCCTCAAGCCCCATGGAGTCGGCGCCTATGCATCTCCCAATGGTAGACCAAAATTAGGAAGAAATGGCTAAGGGCTATGTTCACACAACGCGATCATTCAAAGAATCGTAGATTTATAGAATTGTGGAGTTGGAAGGGACCCCCAAGAGTCATCTAGTCCAATCCGCAGCAATGCAGGAATCTCCGCTAAAGCATTCTTGGCAGATGGCCATCCAACCTCTGCTTAAAAACCTCTGAGGAAGGAGAGTCCATCACCTTCAAAGGGGGTCCGTTCCATTGTTGAACAGCTCTTACCATCAGGAAATGTTTCCTAGTGCTCAGGCAGAATCTCTTGTAAAATTCTCTTCATAAAGACATAAGGTATTTTTCTTTTTATAATGCCATCACGCCAGAGCCTGCCTTTGTCTACCTCCTCTGATGGCTGTATGAAGCAACCTACCTGGCAGGAATCTTTCCCACCTTCTGGGTAACCAGCACAGATCATATCCTGCTTGACAGGATCCTTTCTTAAGCCCTTCTCTGAGACACTGTTTAAGAGAGCATTGCAGGCTTCTCGGCTTATGAGCGGCACCTTCACTTGCTGGAGAGTTTGTGGGGCAGGTAAAGACACTAGAAGATAGAGAAAGGAAAAGTGTTCATGGAATGCAGAGGCATTCAGTAGGACAAAAATTTAGCACTGAGTACACTGTAGATATGTAGCTGCCACACTTTGGGACAACTTCTCCTCCCATATTTATTTCTAGGGAAACCTAGGTGCAGCCCAATACATTTTGCTGTCTGAGGCAAAATACCAAATTCCCTCCCTCTGAGATTCCACGAACAATGCTGGTGTTTTCTTTAACACGGGCAGTGGAACAGAATCCTCCACTGCGCTTGAGGGCACCAGGCTAGTTTGAGAGTGCAAGGCAGATCACATGACGCCTACAGTTCTGACTGCTCCACACCCTTCACCACCTGAGTCACCTGTACCACTCTGCCTAATGGTAGGATTGGCCCGGGGGGAGGGGGAGAATGTTCATTTTGCAATTCTTTTTTTAAAATCCTCATGAAGATTCACCAGCATTTTAGTGCAAATTTCATTCTGGTATGCATTTTTCTATGTTACTTTTGTGAGGGAAATGGATGGAGTACGCACGTGCATTCAACCGCCTAATGGCATCCGCGTCGCCCAGGTGATCACAGCAACAGAGATAAGAAAAGAAGAGTTGTTCTGTTGTCTGGAGAGGTCACTTCCTGGTTTGCATGGAGAAACCGTTTTCAACAGAGCCCAGTGACAGAAGTGCACAGATGTATTGAGGCAGCGTTGGATGTTGAAATGTTGTGTCCCTAACAATTTTGTGCCCAGGGCAACCACCCCTGTGGACCCTCCCCCCAATGCCATGCCCCGGAGCTGTTCATTTGGATGAGTCACAGAGTCTGAAAAAGTGCTACGAAGAAAACCCCTCACCTCCAGTTTGAATATCTCCCCATCCAGTTACCCAGCAGTGTTCTTCTGAAGAGAAGCTTGTAGAGGACTCTGGCAGGCGGATGGGGAGGATGTAGTCAGTGAAGCTCACAGGCGACTTCAGCTTGATTAAAGCAATATCTGCTGTGTGGTCAATGCTGCCATTGTAGTCAGGATGGAGGATAATCTGTTCTGCAGCAGATGCTACAGCATTATCAGAGAGGTTTGAGAGCTGATGGGCACCTAGGAGGACATTGTATCGGAACCTGGGCCCCAGTCTGTGAATACAAGGGCAAAAGATTTAGCTGACATTTGATTTCCTGTGGCTCACCCTAACCGCATACTTCACAAAGAGCTACAATTCCAAGAGTTCAATTCCCTGGGAAGAAGGGTGGGTTTTGAAACCATTCTGAGAACTGTAGATCTGTGTGAGGAGCAGGACTTTCTTAACAGCTCTCAGCAAACTACAGTCCCCAGGTTTCTGTGGGGGAAGCCATGGCTGTATAAAGTGGTATGATAGTGTTTTAAGTGTATGGTGCAGCTGAGGCCTAAGATACCAGGAAGCTGACTGGTAGGCAGCTGAAATTGGCCTTGTATGGTGAAGCTTTATAATGGCTGCAAAGCAATACATACTGTATGATACTCACCCATAGAAGAAGCAGTGAGCTGCTGTCAGGACCCACTGCTCGGCTATGAGGGAGCCTCCACAAATAGGATAAGAAAACAGCGAAATGCTGACTTGCCAGGGCCATGACCCATCAGAGGCTGGTTGGCCCCCAACTATTTTTGGAGCATTTATCGGCTGCCCACTCTCTGTGGAAGAGGAAATAAGAGGATTTGCCATTACAGTTTGCAGCACACACATAATGGAAGTAATGTAGCAAAAGATGTGGAAAACATGAGGAAACAAAATTTCTAAATTTGAATTAGTTTACAAGTAGATTTTTTGCAGATTTTAAAACCATATTTCTTGTCATTGATTCTCCTGGGTTCAATGGGCATTTCATCTGGTAAGTGAAATTGACTTTTTTTATTTCTTAGCACATTTACAGCAGTTTAATTTATGCAGTGCAAAATTAGGAAAAGGGTGAAGTTTGAAGTATGGTTGTATTTTGCTTCACATATACTGCTTACTGCTTGAGAAAGTGCAAGCTAGGCCTTTAATTACCTTTAAATGTGAACCAAATTAAAATTCTCACCCATCCTTACTCATATATGTGGTAGTGGAATCCATGAGTCCTGGACTCTTAGCTCTCAGTTTTGGCATCCCTTTCTCCCATACGTCTTCCACCACCATAGCTAGAAGTAGAACCATGTAAAACCTTGGGGTTTTTGGTTTCCATGGGTCAGAGATTAAGATGGCAAGAGTCATTTTAAGATTCTTCATGTGAGATGCTTGATGGGTGGGCCTTTCTTCCCAGTGGGCAAAGGAATTGAGACTGTTACCTTTGTAAAGTGGAGCACATTCCAGCCACGCAAAAGTCCAGAGGCTTCTGCATCTCCTCACTGACATCTCTCCATCCAGATAAGAAAAAGGTAGCAGCACAGTTGAAGGACACATTCCAAGCAGGCAGTATGAATGGCTGGCTGGTGAGGGTGGGTGACATGGGGTGGGTGACAGTGTGGCCTTGGAGGGGGCATGAACTGAGGAGAATCTCGAGGACTGAATATTTCCTCCACCCTGGCATTACAGCGTGCAGCTTGGCACCATGTCTTAAGGAAGTTGGACACCTAAAACCAATTCTTACTGAAGACCATGCAATCACATCTAGAATGTGACACCTTGTTTGCTCTACTCTTTACTTGTGGTGTGGCAACATCAGCTTATTGTGGGTTCATCTTCCTCATATCAATGTGACATATTAAGGAGTATCCTATCTAAGGTGAGGATGTTGGATTACAAGACCTCTGGTTTTTAGGAGGCCTTTTCTTTAGTTTCCTCCACAGAGATTCCTGTGAAAAACTCCTTCCAATGTATTGAACGACTCTTACCTGCTTTTGAGCTTGTAGCACCTGAGGAAAATAAAGAAAGAAGATACCCCAGGTAAGAGTCATTGCAGAAGAAAGACACAGTGTAGGACTGAATGTATGAACAAGGGGGAAGGGAACTTGTTTACACTGGCCCACTTCAGACAAACATGTCTCGATTCAACAAGCCAAGGTATGCACAAATTCTTTGCTTGTGAACAGAGCCCCTTCACTCCTCCCTCTGAGCATGCCACACTCAAAGCAAGAAGCCTCTAGTTAATTCTGTTATCCCATGTTCTGAGAACCAGGTTATTATGGTTAATCACTTTTAAACAAACCAGGTTATAAAAAAGTGGGTTGATAGCAGTTTAATTGCCTGGTTAGTTCTGAATTTGGTAACCATAGTTCCCTGGTTTGGACAAAACATGAAACATGAAGATTCCTTAGAAGATTCCTACTTTAATCACAGCTTACGGTGAGGGGAGGAGCAAATAGACTGTCTGGGGTGGGCAAAAGGCATCATATGCATATGTCAGCGAATGCAGCCAATCTTTTCCCAATTGGTTGAAAAATTAACACCTTTGACAATTGTGCCACGAGTTCATTCTGAAACATGGTTCTTAGGGGATGTATTCAGAACCACATTTAAACCTGGGCTCATCAGGACTTTAGCTCTTTTAATGTTATGGCTTTACCCTGGAACTATCTACCGTAAGTTGGGAAGAACAGACATCCTAAAGAAAAGTGGGACATTCCAGGATCAAATCAGAAACCGGTATAGCTTCTGTAAATCTGGGACTGTCCCTGGAAAAATATGGGCACAGAGAAGGTATGATTTCCCAGGAGCCCTCACAACTTTTAACCTTGGAGTAACTGTTCCTCAAGCATTTCTCCAACTCCACCAGTCACCTTGTAGCATGGTCAGCTGAAGAAGCCACACAGTCAGTGCGGAAGTAACAATTGGCATTGCTGTCCTTCTGAAGTATTCTCTGGGTGGTTCAGCTCCAGTCAGTTCCAGACAACAGATGTTTTATTTCAATCTGAATATCCTCTAGGAGCCGTACTATTAAAACACAATATCAGCAATGAAAAGGTAGTGCTCCTGTCATTGGCCTGTCTGTTGCTGAGTCTGGAGAAGCAGCACAGAAGCCCCAAGTCCCTGCAATCTCTGGATCCCAGAAGCAGCATCATCCCAAATCTCTGCCAACACCTGAGAACGCCCACAGGTGGAGGCAAGGCATGTATACACTTTCCCCATTGATATCCACATCTGAACCAGCTCCCCGCTTGTTTGGAATAGGGAGAAGGGGGAGAAGATGAGACTCTCCAGAAGCCCCCACCCACCTTTTATCTTTCATATTAAGTCCACAAACATGGAAATGAAGGTGGAGACTTCCTTCTTCATACTTGCCACCAGCTATGGTCACTTACAGACAACCTGTTTGTGGATAAATAGTCCTAATTCTTCTAGCTGGGAAGTTAGACAGCATGGTGAGAAGCAAATGTCATCCCACACTTTCTAGTGCATTTCCTTTCATTCTCCTTATCACAAAAACATCCAGTTTTGGAGGGAGTGGGTTTATTATGGACAACCTGAATGTGCTGCTTATGCAATTGAATCCAGCTTGCAAAATAACAACCATCCGTCTTGAGAGACAGCCCAGGACCCCTATCCACACTGCCAAGGCTTGCTCTCCAGAGAGGTCACTTTGGTGCTGCTATTGCAGTGGTTTGACTTCAGGCCTGGAGGCGCACTTCATTGTCTCTGGAGACAGACAGGTGCCAACAATCTGCTTATGTATTTATTACTGCTAGATTGTACTCTCTATAAAGATTTGAGGAGTGAGGTTATTACCCCTCTACTACTACCCAAACCAGGATGCTCAAGCACTGCTACTGTATCTTTCTTCTGGTAGATCAAGATAACCAGGTGACAGCAAAAACTGCAAAATTTTTAGCAGAGGCAATTAGAATAAAATCTATTATTTGATTAACTTTCTAATATTCCTCAGCTTAGGGGAGAAAAATCAAAAGAAAGACTATTGGCTCACATGTTTTATCTGTGGTTAAAGAATAATGTATCATTTCTGTCATTTGTATTGATGTAGACCTCCAGAATGTATTTTGTATACCTAACTATTTAGTTCTACCCCCAGTATATTTTTTCTTATTGCTATGGCTAGTGGCTAATGCAAATAAAGTTTCTATCTATGCATGCTTTTATTACAGTTCTTTTAAAAGGGACCAGGGCAGCAAACATCCAAATGTAACAACAATGTTAATACAGTATAATGAAAATACAATACGATTAAAAAAATAAAGTAAATATATAGTAAATGTTAAGAACAATGTAAAACATTTAAAAGGATCTAAAAACAACGAATAAAGGTCGAAAACATTTAAAAGACAAATGCATATCATCACAGCTCCTAATTTCATGATTGCCAGGAACAATATATTTCAGCCATCCAGTGATGGATCTTGCCATTTAACCCAAATTGTGCTCCTACGCTCACCCTCTGTAGGTAATTGCAGCTTCAAGACACTGTGGATTTGGATCTGGGGAATCAGTTTGGGAGGAAATTATGCATGGAGAGACATGCATGGAGTCATAGATCTCCTACCTAGCATCTAGTTTGGACCTCTCACAGGACTCTGCCATTGCGTTTCAAATATACAAACATCCTTTCCTAGTATTTATCATTCTTACCTAGCTTTTTCAGAGCTGGCCAGAAAAGACTCTGTACTTCTAGCAGAAGCAGTTAGTTTTAGACCCTTTTTAAATGCACCAAGTGCATTCTCCATATGAAGTGGCACTATGTTCCGTCATTCAAAACAAACATATTAGTTTCCTGGTTCCCTCTCTTTCTTTGTCACACACATGCCGTAAAGGGTGTGACTTTGTATGCAAAGTGAGAAGGTTGCAACAGTAGAGTTGATTCCAAGAGAGCAGAGACAGACCATAGAGAAGGAAGTGTCTAAAGCAATCCATACAGGCCATAACTGGCCTGAATATCAGGTGAGGTCGACTGTTAGTCATACTCAATGTGAATCCATTGAAATCTCAAAAAGGTCTGAAAACGAGACCCTTCTTGTTCTCCTGGACTTCTTTGGTGGCTTTCAATACTATTACTGGCCCAGGACATATTGCAGCCTGAGGGAAAGGAGAAGATGGTAGCTTATCCCATGGTCAGAAACCAACTGGACAGGCACTTGAATCTTACTCAACAACGGTGATGCGGAAGTATACTTCACTTTTTACAAGGGCAGCAGGCTAGCTTAGGAGGTGTAGGCAGTGCTTTATTGATAAAAGTGCCACGGCTGTGTATAGGAAACGCACGTGGAAGATATAATATATCAAGGAGTTATTGGTCTGACATGGAGCTCTTTCTGCCTCTGTCCCCCCCCCCATGGAATGTCAATATGAATGTTTTGAGAACAGTCTTAAATATTTTGGGAACAGTGGGAGGAGGTGAAGCCCTCCCCAGCCCCCCACAGCTGCCTTATCAGTTGTGGAGGATAGTGCTACTGGAGGTTACCACCCACACACTTCTGCTGCGCCTTCTGCTTGTGTGGTGGCACCTCAGCAAAACCTCATCTTACTGTTTACAGCAGAGTATTTCCCTGGTGGCAGACGACAAGAACAGTAGTCATAGTCAAAGTCCTCAGCCAAGAGCTTCTTTATTGCTTGACTGGTTGCACAAGAATTTCTATTACAAAAATATACAAACTATTTAGTAAGGTAAAGGTACCCCTGACCATTAGGTCCAGTTGTGGCCGACTCTGGGGTTGCGGCGCTCATCTCGCTTTATTGGCCGAGGGAGCCGGCATACAGTCATGTGGCCAGCATGACTAAGCCGCTTCTGGCGAACCAGAGCAACGCACGGAAACGCCGTTTACCTTTCCACCGGAGTGGTACCTATTTATCTATTTGCACTGCATGTTTTCGAACTGCTAGGTTGGCAGGAACAAACTATTTACATGCCTTCTATATCTCTCCAGCACAGTATAAACTCAGTGTGTGTGTGTGTGTGTGCTTTCTTCGTGCCTCAAATGGCAAACTCATAGCTCCTTCTTTTAACTGCATCTTCAGCTGACTCCAATTAAGCTGGCACTCCCACACATTGAAGAAACTTCTGGAATGCTTTTTAAAGTTTAAAGGAACCTTAGCTGTTTCTTTAAAGAATGTATTCCTAACAAGTGCTGGGTACCTTCTTTTATGTTTGACATGTTTTGAGAAAGTGAGGCATTGGGAGGGGGTGGCTAATGGATGATTTGCACGTCGCTAGTCTTGGAAGCCACAGAGGCTATATATAAAATAGGACAGTTTGGGCAGAGTTTCTTTGAAACTCATGCATGGACTGATTGGGCCGTGCAAACTGAGGCTACCTGAGGGGAGTAGCTTTGAAGCTGCTTGAGGGCTTCCAAGTGGCAGATTGAAGTGCTTGCTTGGTATGTATACATTGCTTGCTGCTTTAGAATAAAATCTTTAATCTTCTCACTCACTTGTGTATTTTGTATTGCTCATTTTAAAAGAACCACCTTGCATTTGGCAAGACAGGCTGCCAGCACAAAATGGCTGCCATGGGCAGTAAGGAAAGGGAATAATAAAAATAAAAATAATAAAAATAAAATAAAATAAAAATTGGCTGGGATGGTTCACTATACCAGTGAATAGTGTCACAAAAAAGCACTTGGTGTAGGACCAGGGCTTTTTTTTGCAGCTGAAACTCAGAAGAACTCAGCTCTGGCACCTCTCAGGTGTGCACCATTGCCAGTAAAAGAGAATGAGGGAGGAGTTCGTGGTGAGTTTAAGCACCTCTTTTTCTAGAAAAATAGCACAGGGTAGGACAGAAAATGAAGCATGCACAGCAGTGGGGGCTGGGGACTAGTGGGATAGGAGCAGGGAGCCCAAACAGTCTGTGGAGCCTGAGTTAATGACTAACAGAGCCAACTAATTCTAAAATGGTCCCCTGCTCCCTGCTGAGTTCTAGAAGAGCAAGAGGAAGCTGACAGCCAGTGGCACCCCATGGATTGGTTGGAAGTAAGTAAGATGATAGGCATATGCGGGCTTGCTGAGGGCAGATTGAGGTTGGTAGGGCAGTGGCCCATTTGGCCTAATGGACCAGCATCCACTGAGCTCTAGTCACCCCACACCCCTCGGCATCTGCCACCTGAACTGGCCATCTTACTCTGCCATGAGTACTTATTCCCAGGTAAGTCAAAGTAGGATTGCAGTGTTATTCAACTAAGAGAAAGAATACACATGCACACAGCTTACACTCTGCAGAACAACTACTGTAATAGCCTTTCTTTGGTGCTGACTATTAGCTGTATTTGCATAGGTTTTTTGAGTGAGTAAATATGCATAAATAAATAATCAGCTTCAGCAACACCGGACAAAAGCTTAATTGATACTTTTGTTCTGTATACTCAGTATGGCAAACAGGAAGAAAAATAAATCTAGTCTCTGTTTGGTAGAGCAAAGAAATTGAAAGGAGGATATTTCTGCACTTACGGTTCACTTCAGTGCATGACTGAACCCTGCTTTTCTACGGGAGTATCCAAATCAGTAACTCAATTAAAGGGCAGCATCAAAATTTAACAAATCAATAATTAGAGGATTCCTCAAGGGTGCAGAAATATATTGATTGATCGGACCCTTAATGGAAAGGTCCCACGATGGCTTACAACAATACAGAGATACAATATTAAAGTCAGTTAAAGTAATTAACAATCAGAAAAACAAGGTGGGTCCTGAAAATATATTTAGGTATCAGAGGCCAGGGCAAAGAGGTACATCTTTAGTGTATGAATTGTATGTGCAAATTGTGAACTTGGTGGCATCAAGCCTATCAGTGAAATAGACTAGAATCATAGAATCATAGAATCATAGAATCATAGAGTTGGAATAGACCACAAGGGCCATCGAGTCCAACCCCCTGCCAAGCAGGAAACACCATCAGAGCACTCCTGACATATGGTTGTCAAGCCTCTGCTTAAAGACCTCCAAAGAAGGAGACTCCACCACACTCCTTGGCAGCAAATTCCACTGTCGAACAGCTCTTACTGTCAGGAAGTTCTTCCTAATGTTTAGATGGAATCTTTTTTCTTGACTAACCACAGACAAAGTAGGGATTTTCACATACTTCCGAGATTCCCCCATTATAAGCATATGAAAATTAAAAGGTAGTATACCCCACCCCAAAGCAAAACAGCCACTTTCTTTCCCATTCTCCTTTCCTTCTCTTGGTATTTCTCTCTCAACAACTGATACTCAACTTTATTGCAAGGGCTGGTAATATGCCCACTTGCCAGCCCGACATAAAAGAGTACGCCACAAACAACTGAGATCAATCACACAGGAATGGATTCGATGTGTAATATACAATGTATAGGAAATAGTAAAATACAAATATGCTTTCTTTTTCTTTTTATTTACATTAATGTTTAATTTTTACAATAAAACCTCAACACGGAGGAGCTAGGCTTACAGTAACACTGAGAAGAAATCCCAAGGATATCCTTATTTTGAAACAATTACACCCACTCTATACATTTAAAGCACTCTTCCGCCATTTTAATAGTAATGGAGAATCCTGGGAATCATAGCCTGGTAAGGGAGCTGGGGATTGTAGTTGTGTGGTGTCAGCACCCTTAATAAACTACAGTTCTCTGGGTACTTGAGGAAGAACCCATATCTGTTAAAGTGTTATAAGAGTGTCTCAAACGGGTGGTGTGGATGCGCCCAGAAAACTACTCAATGTTCATTTCCCAATGAATTTATCAGTCTTCTTTCTAGAGAAGCATCTTGAAAGTGTCAGTTTACTCCCTCAGGTGATGTTCCACATTCTCCTAAACTGTGGATTTCCAAACTGTGGCCTGTGGACCACCAGTGGGCTATGAGATATTTTGAATGCTCTCTAGAGTATGATGTAGAAAGTGCCAAAAGAAGGTACTTCCTCAAAAGTATGTGTGTGCACCCCCCCTCAGAAAGTTGGTCCAATTGCTCATTTTAATAATCCTGGGTATTTCTGGGTACTTCTTTCAACATGTTCAGCAAAGCAAAATATACAGAAACTTTATATAAAGAGTAATAGCAAGAAAATATTCACAAATATTTATAAATACCATATAACAATTCTTTGATCAAGTACAAACAAGCAGAAGTATAAAATTATCTGAATTAACATTATAACATTGAACTGGAGATAAATTACAACCCCACTATTCTGGGTGCCATATTTCTTTGCGGCTTCTTACCACATCGTTTAACTCTTTCAACAGATTAAAAGAATATTGAGCTTTGCATCCAAAAGGTCTTAGGTTCAATCAGGGGTGGAAGAAGGGATGTGTGGTGGGGGTGGGCCAGCCCGGGTGTCAACACTGTGTGTGTGTGTGTGTGTGTGTGTGTGTGAGAGAGAGAGAGAGAGAGAGAGACACAAAATGCCAGGTGGCACTCACCGTGGGGCCTGCAGCGTGCCCAAGCCACGTGTCTCTCCTGGGACTGATGCAGTGGCTTGGGCCCCTGCAGGCTCCATGCTGCCCCAAACGGTCCACCCGCCACCTCTCCCTCAGCTGTAGGGCGGCTGAGTGGGAGAAGGCAGGCAGATTCCTCAGAGGTCCTACGGAGCGTCCTGCCCTGGCTGGCCCTGCCCCGTGGGCAGCTGACCCCACCCCCACGGGCAGCTGGCCCTGCCTCTGGGCGCAGAGCATGCATGCCACCCCAGTCACCTGATTGGCTTGCTCCACTGCTGGGTTCAATTCCTACCATCTCCCAGTAGGGCTGGGAAAGGCTCCTGTCAGAACCTTGGAGAGCTACTTCCAGGCAGGATATAAAATCCTAAACCAGATGAACTGACAATCTGTCTTGCTATAAGGCAGTGAGTGGCCTGTGTTCCTGTTGCGTCCCCAAAGCAGACCCCTTGGTTCAATAAATTGTCAGAGCATATAGGACTTAAATCACTACTGATCAGTAAAGCAATTTAAATGCATCTGTGCCCAAATTCTGAACAAATTCCACATAACCCATCAGTAGATGGGCTGAAGGCAGAGAGAGGAGCATCTCATAGAAGGTCAATGTAAAAAACACTAGGAGGAGTGTCACAACAGGGGAATTCTGTTCTCTGCCATTCACCTCACTTTTCCCACTTGTAGTCCCATCCTTTCCACACGTCACAAAGGTCATATTGGGTATATGCTGGGAGATCCAAGTGGCATAAAAAGGGGTTGAAGAATAGACACCAGGGAGACCAGGGCGGCCACAGCCTATCCCCCAGCTCACAACCCCAGCCAGGACCCAATGTCCATCACATGGGCAAGCCAAGGGTCCCCCGGAGTCACCCTGTGGAGAGAGAGATAGGAGTCAGTCCACAGTTACAGGAAGCCTCCTGAGAGCGGGTTTTGGAGACTGGTTTCAAAACAGATTATGCTTATTTCCTTTACAGATCTGTCCTCATTCAGGAACCATCTCCCAACTAGACTAAGGTAGTGGAGAAATGGCTAAGGTATGGAGGAGAAACTATGCACAAGGCTGAAACGACCAAATTTGAATTTCCCAAAACAATATGGGAACTGAAACATAGCTATCTGTTAAAATTCGCACATATCTGAATTTTGTGATTCAGTTCTGCAACTAAACAATGTTAACAAAGACGCATATATTATTAAAATATTGCTTGCACAGACATGTATATTAGTCAAAACTGCATATGAAATTGTGTTTATTGGGAGAAATTCACACTAAAATGCCGAAATTGACAGATTCTTCTATCCCTGGTCCAGACTTTCAGTTTCAGTTTAATGAATATATAATGCAGCCCTGTAAAGAAGTCTTCCAATGTTACTGGCCTGCAAAAATGTATGTTAGCTTGCTGTGGCCCTGCAAAAATGTATGCTTGCTGTGGGCCAGGAGAGGAGAGACAAACAGCTCAGGCCTTATCGCAGCAGCCCACTGCATTTTAACGCAGGAGACTACCTCCTCCAGCAGACCTCTTGGCTTCTATGGTGGACACAGATTAGAGATGGAGCACCCTCTCTCTCCTCTGCCAGCCTGCTCACTAGCTTGCATGTAATGCCTTGCCACCTATGTCTACCACCCCACTGCTAAAATACAAGGCTGACATATTGCATTTCCACATCAGGTCTATTTAAGTAGGCCTGTACTCATCTTCTGAGAAGGCTACATTTCTGAACTGCTGGCCCTGTGAATAAAAGCAAGACAAAAGGATGGAAAAATCTGTGGCCTCCCAGCTGTTGGACTCCAACTCCCATCAGCCCCAGCCAGCAGAGCCAATGATCAGGGGGGATGACAATGTCTGGAGGGCCACAGGTTCTCCATACCTGAGCTAGACCTTTGGAGCCTGTCCCCTCCATTTCTGGGGTGCTCCTGCCCACCATAGCCAACCAAACTTATGGAGTATCCTACCTGGCAGGAATCTTTGCCCCCTTCTTGGTAGCCAGCACAGATCATACCAGGGCCGACCGGATTATGGAGTTGCGGTTCATGTTGGGTAGCGTTGAAGAGAGAATTGCATTTTTCTCGGTCTATGAGTGGCACTTTCACTTCCTGGAGGGTTAGTGGGGGTGGCAATTCCACTGTAAGAGGAAGAAAATGTATCATTAGGGATGTGATCAGGTGGATAGCCACCCATCCCAATTATATCTCTTACCCCAATGTATACTCTAATAGCTGCCTATTTTACATTGTCCATTCTGCATTTAATATAGACGGAGGAAGGCAAAAGCAAATAGTGACTGTGTCCATCTCCCCTGACCACTGGTTTCTGAGATATCGCAAAGCACTGCCCAGACATGTGCGAAACTTTACAGCATACAGAGAAAGAAATCTGCATTTTAACATCAATTCCTGATAAAAAACCAGGGACAATAATAAGGTATGATTAAGTGGCCAGCGGATTGCTTTTTCCTTCCACTCTGCTTATAGAAATGTATAAGAGGGTTCACTTTCACCATCTACTGGTGAGAAAAGTTGTAGCACTGTTAGCTTCCAGACTGTTGTGAAACTCTAACTTGGAGAACAAGGAACCTGTGACCCTCTGGAAGTTGTTCGACTACAACTTCCACCATCCCCTACCCTTGGCTCCATCCATTTTCCAAGGGGAGAAGGTGTGCTGGGAGGTTGCATGCTTGGATTTCAAACCTTGCCTCCTCATATCTCCTATTCATCTGTAGTTACTTTGTGGTTAATAAAAGCAGCAATGAGTCTTGAAGCCCCTTAATCACTAACACATTTATTATGGCATAAGCTTCTGTGGACAATTCCTCAAAAGCTTATGCCATAAATAGTTATTGCTAGTTTTCAAAGTGCGGCACTTGGCTCTCTCTCTCTCTCTCTCTCTCTCTCTCTCTGTGTGTGTGTGTGTATGTGTATGTGTGTGTTTGCTGCAACAAAGTAACATGATCACACTTTCAAAAGGCACTCTGTCTCACAGACATTCTGTCTCACAGACATTCTTTCTAATGCATGGCTCTGAAGGCCATTTTTCTACCATTACAAGGCAGCCCGGAAGTTGAGCTCTGGCCTGGCCTGGCTCAAATTCAGGCCTGTAGATACCATCTCACTGCTTTAATGACATACCCTCCAACATGTTGAGTCTGAAAACCGGGATACGTGTCTTCCCAGCTGTGCTCCTGTGCGAGTCACGTGACCTGCATGAGATCACGGAGCCCAAAAGACATGCTTTATTCAGGGCTCTGCTGTCACACAATCGCCTGACACCCCAAAATGCATGTTTTGGGGCACTGCATGATATCATGGACCTGAAAAAGCACTTCTTTCAGGGAGAGATCATGGGGCGGAATCATGCAAGATTACGGAACCCAAATGTGCTCTCACAGGACAAAACAGGAAGTACTGGTTTTTCCCAGGACACTTGTCGGGTATGTAATGGCTGCAGCAGATAACATAGTGGTGGTCGGTGTGAGTTGCATTCTCGGATTAGTTCCCTTTACTGCCTTCCTGTTCACTCTCAGGTCCAGCAAAAACTCTTTGTCTTCAAAGTAATCCATGGTCTTGTTGTCCTGCTTTTGATGTTTCTCTCCTCATACCCAGCCTGAGGCCCTAACTATTCATGGTTTGCAGGTATTTATAACCCTTAGGGGTAGGATCTTTTTACAGTGGCCCCTTGTCTCTGCAATACTTTACCATCTAAGATCCATTAGGCCTCAGCACTGGGCTGATTGGAGGTTGTGATGCTTTCCAAATGTTGTGGACTATAACTCCCATCAGCCCAATACATTATTGTCCATGGTCAGGGATGATGGGAATTACAGTGGAGAACTTCTGGAAGGCACCTCCTTGGCTACTCCTGGCTGCAAATCATACCCGCCTCCATCCTCCAGCATTTCAACCGCATCATCCAGCATCTTCCACCTGAGCCAGCTTGCCCTATAAAAGTGCAGTGTACATTGCTGGCATGAAAGTAAACAGAGCTTGAAGGAGAACCTCAAAAAGCACTTCTCCATCTCCTCACCTCCAGGTTTAATATCTCCCCATCCAGTCACATAGCAGCTTTCTTCCATTGAGAACTTTGCAGAGGTCTCTGGCAAGCAGATGGGAAGAATGTACTTGGTGAAACTCACAGGGGACTTCAGCTCTACTAAAGCAATATCCCCTCTGGAGCTATCACTGTCATAGGTGGGATGGAGGATAATCTGTTGGATATCAGATGTTACTGTGTTACTTGAAGTGTTCAGGAGCTGATAGGCACCCAGCACTACATCAGAATGGGTAGTTTGGCTCTTGATGCTGTAAGTGGGGAAAAAAACAAGAGCAAAATGCAACAAGATCTTTGCCAAACTGGTCTCCAAGAGGTGAGTGCCCTTAGACCTTGTAATTCAGTCTCATGTGAACATGACTAGTTTAAAGGGGAGACTAGGGCCATAGCAACCCAGTGGAGAAAAGGTCATAGCTCTTTCCAAGCAGAGGACCCCAGGTTGACCCCTCCATGTCTCCGGACAAGTCATTAGCACACATTCATTTTTGCTTTCCCTCTGGGTTTTTTTAAATTGTGCATAAGCATAAGTCCTTGGCATTTCTTGCAACCAGGCTATAGGGCAGGGATGGGGAACCTTTGGTCCTCCAGATGCTGGATTTAACTCACAACATCTCTGGCCACTGACCACGTGGGATGGGGCTGATGGGAGTAGGAGCCCAACAATATCTGCAGGGCCATTGGTTTACATCCCTGACCATTGGCAAGTCACCTTGTTCTCTTTACCTCCAAGAGGGAGCTACTGGCATAATTTCTGACGTGTTTTGTTATTTTACTGCCCTCCCAAATCAGGTGTTCAGCAGATATCAGATGACACTATAGTACAAAAGTGGAGATGAGCACCACACCCCATAGTCAAATCTGACTGGATTTAACCGTCCAGGGTTCCTTTACCTTAATGGCATTCAACTTGAGCCTATAAAGTTTGTGATTTGAGTTTGGCTCTGGAGTTTGAACAATTTACTGCTCAGGCATAGACAGAACTATGCTTGTCAGTGCATGTTTGTCTCCATTTGCATGTTTTAAAATATGCAATATGCATTCAGAGCTGTATGGCTTGAATGCAGCCTACTGTACAAAGGTGAAAGCTGCTGCTGTTGCTCCACTGACATTCATCTCTGGCCCCAACCACCTCCAGGCTGAAAAAGATCCCCCAGCCCCAATCTATACCTTCTGCCAGCTATCTGCTTCCTTTAACTTTATTATTCATTGCTCTGTCAGGCTCTGCTTTGGCAAGGCCAAGGCACTGAGTAGCTGTTAGGCCAGCCATGGGCAGTCATTCTGGGCCAATGGGCACATTGGGAATGTTGAGAAAGTGCTTGGGTGCTAGTCACAAAATGGCTGCTCTGGGCTGTGAGGTACAAAACAAAATGGTCACCACATCTATAAGAGACAGGAGATGTTATTTGCTGTGACCTTTTGTGGATGCCATAGGGCAAACTGGCAGGGACACTGGTGCCTGTGGGTGTCACATTGATGCCCTCTGTGTTAGACATAAAATATTAGTTTGGCCTTGCAGCTGCCTCTAGAGTGAAACTGAATGATGCCTTCACAGCCAAGTACACTAGAACAGTGTTTCCCAACCTTTTTTGGGCAAAGGCACACTTGTTTCATGAAAAAAATCTCGAGGCACACCACCATTAGAAAATGTTAAAAAATTTAACTCTGTGCCTATATTGACTATATAAAAAGTACAGTGGTGCCTCGCAAGACGAAATTAATTCGTTCCGCAAGTCTCTTCGTCTTGCGAGTTTTTCGTCTTGCGATGCACGGTTTCCCATAGGAATGCATTGAAAATCAATTAATGCGTTCCTAGGGAAACCGCCTTCAGACCAGGTCCGGGGACAGTCTGTCCCCCGACCTCTTCTGAAGGCTGGGGGGGGGGGGACAAGGGCTTTTCTTCCCACTGCCAGCCTTCAGAAGGCTGTTCTGAAGGCTGGCGGTGGGAAGAAAAGCCCTTCTTCCCACCCTCCCGCCCCGCAAGCTCCGGGACAGGAGGGCTTTGCTGCGACCGCCACGCATTTTAAAAGCCCCTGCTGTCCGGGGCGATTTTAAAATGCTGGCGGGCGGGAGCGAAGTCCTCGCTGCCCAAA